TTCTCTGAGTGAATTGTGTGAAGGACTGAGAAGATTTAGAAGTCCTGGCACATTCTTTCAAAGTGTTTGCAGTCTAATTTGGGAAATAAGACTGACGCATGGGAGATAACAGACAACAATGCAAGAAAACATGGACTGGGCTGCAGTATGTGGTACAAGGATGAAGGCAGTGGTGTGTTGGTATATGTTTAACATTCAGCTCTCCAGGAAAAAAAATAGTCCTGATACTGATTGTCCATTTCTGAGTTAATGCTATTTCTCTATAGTAGATTTTAATCTACCCACATGATACTACAGAATATGGAGCAGAGAAAGAATGTTAGCAATCTTCTCTGGTGAGCTGGTGTAAGCTTCCTTCAGCACATCATTGGCTATAGGCTTTAGGAAAGAAAGAGAAGTGAGAAACAGTGTTGTGTGACATGATTTCATGAAGATGCTAGGCAATGAGCTGAGTCTTGAAATACTCCTAAGAAACAATTTTAAAACATTAAAAATAAATCTTTTCCAGTTTAGTTGTTTAAAAATTCTGTATTTAAGCTAAGAATAAGAATGTAATTTCATTGGGGGTTTTATGTTAAGAATGTATTGGGAATGATGGGGATGTGCTTCCAAGCACAGAGGACTTGAAATCTGCGTGGCCAACAGGGACCAGAGAATAGCCCAGGAAGAAGAAAAATATAAGCATGGCTTTGACAATGGGTATTGGAATATTCCTAGGTCCTGGGAAGGGTGCTTTTTACAGTGGAGAAGAGAGTGAAGATGGCAGATTGGCTATGTAAGAACAGTCTGATAGTGCAGGGCCTTATCAGCCCAGCAGAGGTGTGCTTACCAGACCAGAGAAGTGATATATGATTAGTATATTAGAACTTAGAGACAATCTTGTTTAGGCTCCTTATTTTGCATTTGAGGCCATGGAGACAAATTTGCCCCACACCACATGTTTTGACATTGACAGACTCCAGATCAGCTTCCAGATTTCTCAAGTCCCAGCCAATTCCAATGTTTTTTTTTCCATCATAATAAACCACCTAAAGGATGATAAGTCTAGCAGAGACAGATTCATAGGGTTAAAATCTTATTTGTGTCCAAATGAATCAATGTTGATGAAGTATAATACAGTATGATATAATATAATATTACATGCCATAATATAATACAATGCAATACAATTAAAGTATAACGTAACAAAGTCTACCAATTTTTTGGTGTATGTTTTGGTGAGTTTTGACAAATTTATACACCTGTATTACCACCCTTACAATCAATAATATTTCTTTTACTCCAATAAGTTCCTTGTGTTCTTTTTCAGTCAGTGCCCCAGAAATTCTGGCAACCACTTTTTTTTTTGTCAGTATAAATTAGATTTGTATTTCTAGAGTATCATATAAATAGAATTATGCAGTATTAACTCTTTTGTGTCAACCTGATTCAGCACACTGTTTTAAAGATTCAGCCATGTTGCAGTTTGTATTAGAAATTTGTTTCTCTTATTGCTGAGCAGTGTTGTATTATATAGATTCATTATAACTTGGATTTTTGGGTTATTTGCAGTTTTTTGACATTTAGGAAGAAAGCTAATAGGGCCGTTCACATGTACCTGGCTCTATGTGAACACATATTTTCATTCCTATTGTGTCAACATGTAGAAAAAAATTACTGAGTTATGGAGTAAGTATATATTTAACTTTCTAAAAAACTGCCAAATTGTTCTCCCAGTTGGTGATTCTATTTTACATTTCCATCAGCAATGTTTAAGTTTCAATTCCTTTACTTCCTTTCCAAAATTATTTGTTGTTAGGCTTTTAAATGTTAGCCATTCATATGGGTGTATAGTGGTATCTCATTGTAGTTTTATTTTACAAATTTTTTTAATGGCTAATGATGTTGAGCATTCTTTCCCATGTATCCTGAGTATTTATATATCTTATTTTGTGAAATGTCTGTTCAAATATTTTGTCAAGGAGAAATGTGTCTTATTATTGAGTTATAAGAATCCTTTACATATGCTGGTTACAATTTTAGACATATGTATTGTAAATATTTCCTCCTAGCTTGTGGTTTTCCTTTTCATTTATCTTTTCTTTGTTTCCTCCCCTCCCCGCCTTTTTTTGAGATGGTCTCTCTCTGTCACCCAGGCTGGAGTGTGGTGGTACGATCTTGGCTCACCACAACTTCTGCCTCCCAGGCTCAAGCGATTTCCGTGTCTCAGCCTCCCGAGTAGCTGGGATTACAGGTGTGTGCCACCAGGCCAGGCTAATGTTTGTATTTTTAGTGGGGACAAGGTTTTGCCATGTTGGCCAGGCTGGTGTCAAACTCATAGCCTCAAGTGATTGGCTTTTCTCGGCCTCCCAAAGTGCTGGGATTACAGATGTGAGCTGCTGTGACTGCCCAAGTCTTTTCATTTTTCTAATGATGTCTTTTGAAGATTAGAAGCTTTTGATCTTGATAAAGTACAATTTGTGATTTTGTTCTTTTATGGGCTGTGCTTTTTGTTTTATATCTAAGAAATCTTTGCTCATTTCAAGGTATCGAAGATTTTATTCCTTATTTTTTTGTCTGGAATTTGTATAGCTTTGTCTTTTATATACATATCTATGATTCATTCTAATTTTTTTGTGTGTGTATGACATGAGCTAAGGTTTGAGGTTTATTTTTCCCATACAGACATTTATTTGATCTAGCAACATTTGTTGAAAATCCTGTCACTGAGATACCTTAGCACGTTATCAAAAATCAGCGGCCGTATATATGTGGGTCCACTTTTGGACTCTCCATTTTGTTCTGCTCCCTGCACTTGCATCGATCGCATACTATCCTGATTACCGTAGTCTTCAAATGAAGTAGTGTAAGCTTTTCGACTTTGTGCTTCTTTCCTAAAATTGTTTTAGCAGTCTCGGTCTTCTGCAGATGCATATACATTGTAGGATGGGAATATGTTTTATTGTTCTGGCTAGATAATTTGGTACCCTAGTCTTGAGTGGGTCATGGTGGATTCAGAAATTATACAAACAGAAGACATAACTTTAAAGAAAAAGGCCACTGAATGCGATGTCAAAATAGAGGTGGCTCTAAAATGTTGACCCGTTAATTGACAGGAATAATGACATGCTCATTAAAAAAGACAGAAAAATTGAAATGGAGAGCTTTTTATGAATATATAATGGGTTAATGTTTAGTTTACTTTCAAAAATATGAAATTTATTATGATTGCAAGATACATTAATAGAGAAATCAGGAGGGATGTTAAGTGGAGGCTTGGGAAAAAGACTGGTGATGGAAATAGAGATTTGAGAGCAATCATCATAGAAATGATAACAGAAAACATTGAGAGGAAGAATGCGAAAACACACACACGCAAGGGCCAAGGATTGACCAGAGAAGAGTATACGTAATTATGGTAGAGGGAGAAAGAGGAGATTCATGGAAGGTAATGAAGTAAGTGCTGAGAAGAGAGAAAAACAGTGTGGTGTCATGGAAACCAAGGTCAGAGAATGTTTCCATGAGGCAGAGTTTGAAGTGTCAAAGCAGACAAAGACAAGAAAAAGAAGAAAAAGCAAAGTCCAGGGGCTTTAGCAGTGGAGAATTATTTGGTGACATTTGAGCAAACAATCTCATGGGCATGAACATGACAAAGCCAACGTGCAGGGAGAAATGGAGAGTGGGAGAGAAGGGCTGCTTTAATACTTCTGAAAATAAAGGGAGAACAATAAGGTGGTCACTAAAGAGAACCACAGGATCACTTGTGTGCTCTCCGTACGTTTTATATATGCTTGCTTTTTGACAAAAGGGACGAGTGTCTCTGCTTCTCAAAATTGTCTGTTCACCACCTTTTAAAAAATAGGTAAGCTAGTTGGGCTTCAGACAGCTGCAGATTCCTCTCTCGTCTCCCAAGTCATTTCTATACCTCAAGTTGTCCAGTCCTTTATGATGACAGTGGCGACTACACAATGTTTTTTGTCACAGCTCTGTCTTCCTGGCTTCACTCAAAAGGCCTACTGGAATCAGCAAAAAAGAAAAAAAAAAAAAAAAGGCCGGGCACGGTGGGTCAAGCCTGTAATCCCAGCACTTTGGGAGGCCGAGGCATCTGGATCACGAGGTCAAGAGATCGAGACCATCCTGGTCAACATGGTGAAACCCCATCTTTACTAAAAATACAAAAAATTAGCTGGGCATGGTGGTGCGTGCCTGTAATCCCAGCTACTCAGGAGGCTGAGGCAGGAGAATTGCCTGAACCCAGGAGGTGGAGGTCGCGGTGAGCCGAGATCTCGCCATTGCTCTCCAACCTTGGTAACAAGAGCGAAACTCCGTCTCAAACAAACAAACAAAAAAAATAAAAGAAAAGAAAAAAGATTTCTTTGGTGGGGCTTGAGTGATCAATTTCAGTGGAGAGATAATGGCAGAAGCCATGCTGTAGTTGTTCTGTTTTGAGAGTACAATAACATGTTGGGACCACATCACCTCTCCAAAATCAAGTTTCTATATTCATAATTCAACTGAGATACTGTGTAAAAGCTCCTCAGTGACCCTGTTATGAAATCCAGTGACCACTTCACAAAGTTTTCCATCTTCAAATATTTCAAACTGCTATATCTTTTTTTTCCCACAAGACTTTCATCTTTATGGTTTTCTTGACAGGCACTTCACCAGAGTCTGCCTTGTGAAGAGGGTTTAAAGACTGGGTATTGCTTTGCTGTCGGTTGAAATATAGAGCATGGCTTTCTCCTTGCTGTCCTTTTCCCTTCCTAACATCACTCTAATGTCTGTGAGGTGAGCATATAGGCAGAAGTCCTCCCCATGCACAGGAAGTCGTTGGCTCCTCAGTGACAATGTTCATACGTATAAAGCCCCAAAGAAGCACAAGTAGGCTTCTCTCTTCCTGTGTGAGGACCCTGCATGAGCATTCTGATTAAAAAGGAATTCGATCCAATCTCAGTACAGTTATTAGCGTTCTTTGTTTTAAAGAATTAACTGCTGAGAATTAAAGAATTAGCTGCTGAGAATTTACTCCTGGTTGACTCCATTTATTACTTTCAGACACTGATATAGTAGAATGCAGAGAAAGAACTTCACAGAAGTGACAGAATTCATCTTCTTGGGATTCTCTAGCTTTGGAAAGCATCAGATAACCCTCTTTGTGGTTTTCCTAACTGTCTACATTTTAACTCTGGCTGGTAACATCATCACTGTGACTGTCATCCGCATTGACCATCATCTCCACACTCCTATGTATTTCTTCCTAAGCATGCTGGCCAGTTCAGAGAGCGTGTACGCACTGGTCATCGTGCCACGAATGCTTTCCAGCCTCATTTTTCATAACCAGCCTATCTCCTTGGCAGGCTGTGCAACCCAAATGTTCTTTTTTGTTGTCTTGGCCACTAATAATTGCTTCCTGCTTACTGCAATGGGTTATGACCGCCATGTAGCCATCTGCAGGCCCCTGAGGTACACTGTCATCATGAGCAAGGGACTGTGTGCCCAGCTGGCGTGTGGGTCCTTTGGCACTGGTCTGGCTGTGGCAGTTCTCCATGTGACAGCGATGTTCAATTTGCCCTTCTGTGGCACAGTGGTGGACCACTTCTTTTGTGATATTTACCCAGTCATGAATCTTTCTTGCACTGATACCACTATCAATGAGATAATCAATTACGGTGTAAGTTCATTTGTGATTTTCATGCCCATAGGCCTAATATTTATCTCCTATGTCCTCATCATCTCTTCCATCCTTAAAATTGCCTCAGCCGAGGGCCGGAAGATCTTTGCCACCTGTGCCTCCCACCTCACTGTGGTCATCGTCCGCTATGGCTGTGCCTCCATTGCCTACCTCAAGCCCAAGACAGAAAGTTCTTAGAAAAAGACCTTTTTCTTTCCATGACGTACACCTTTCATCACTCCCCTTCTAAACCCTGTTGTTTACAGTCTGAAAAACAAGGAGGTCAAGGATGCCCTACGCAGAGTTGTGGGCAGAAATATTTCTTAACAGACTGGATTATTTTATCAAGAGACTGTTAGCCCGGTGAGTGTGTCTACTCACAAACATGCCACAATACACACATTCATCAAATATAATATTTGTTGAGAATACTGTCAGAGAATTAGAAATGCTTTTCTTTTTTATGTTCTAGGGATGGCAGAAAGCAGGATTTCTGCTCTGGTGAATTTTGTTACCAGACACAAGAATCACTCCAAGCTGGATTACGACTACTTGTTTCTGTGGTTGAAGATTTCAGTTTTGAAAGCTTTTTGGCTTGCATTTTACTTGAACTCTCTGACAGTCCAATCTTTGACCTAGTCTGGTTAAGGGATGTGGAGAACCAGGCCTTGGGAACATAGGTGGCAGGGATTTTAGAAAAATAAGCTTCAGAGACACCAACTTTTATTTCTCTCTGCTTATATAAAAAAGGAAGCTTTCATTCTCAAGAGTCAAATAATATTCCAGGTGATAGTCATTTTATGATGATATCTTAATTCTTACTGATTGAAAAATGAAGAGTTTTGAAAAAAGAAGTCTCTTCTTTTATTATCCAGCTATATTTGCTTCTCAAATAGAGTTCATTTCTAAGTGTATTCTTTTCCATCTGTGCAATCAAGGCGGAAATCTCTGCTGTTCCCTGGGGATAAGGATAAAGAAGACATACCGGTGGCTTTTCTCTAAAACTACATTTTTATCCAGATGCACTTTTCATACAGACTCGTCTATTTTCAACCTATGGGTAGCTTTTTAGATTTTTAATTTATATGTAGTAGCTTCGATGACATTGAAGTTGTTGTCTTAGATATTGGTTGTACTAATTCTAGAGTCCAAGGTAAATGCCGTTGACTTCCATTCTCTCGGCAAACTGTGCAAACTTCATGCTTCTCCAGACATGTATTTGTAAAATTAGCATAACTATGCTACATTATTGTATATTGTCAATGGGAAACATTGTGGGAATATTTTGTCTTATGACTCTTCCCACCGGAGTTTATCTTTACTCTGAGACAGAGCTGGAAGATACTTCCTAAGAGACACAGGTGTGGAAACATCTGCTTTCACACACTCAGGACATCTATTGTTTTTCCATCCTCAAGTCAGTTCCCATCTCTTACTTCCCAGTTTTATTTTTCTGTTCCTCACCACAGAAATAGGGGTAAGTATCTTCTAGGTGACCTGTGATCTTCTCTTTCTTCTACAGATCCCTTTGTGAGGAGGTCACAAACTGGAGGTGAAGGGTCTCTGCACAGTGTCCCCTTGATTTGGTGGTCCCACTTGGATAATATCTTAGCTGATAGCAGGTCTCCCTACTGGCCAGCCAGATATCCTTCTCAAAAGGTGTCTAAACCTGGGGTTCATAGTTTTTAGGGGATGCCTTGATGGGTGTCAGAGGGTTTTTAAACTTTTCTGAAATTATCCACTACATTTTTAATGTAAGTGTTAATGTGACTTTTTCAACGTATTCTTAAAGAATTTACTCTGCGGTGGCTCAAGCCTGTAATCCCAGCACTTTGGGAGGCTGAGGCGGGTAGATCACTTGGTCAAAAGATCGAGACCATCCTGGTCAACATGGTGAAACCCTGTCTCTACTAAAAATACAAAAAATTAGCTGGGCATCGTGGCACGTGCCTGTAATCCCAGCTACTCAGGAGGCTGAGGCAGGAGAATTGCCTGAACCAGGAGGCGAGGTTGTGGTGAGCCGAGATCGTGCCATTGCACTCCAGCCTGGGTAACAAGAGTAAAACTCCATCTCAAAAAAAAAAAAAAAAAAGAAAGAATTTACTCTGGCATAAGTATTTCTTCCCTCAAATCCGAGCAGAAATATGACACCAGATCAAATTTTCTTTCTTTGTAGATCATTTACTTCCACAATATCCTTACATCTTCTTGAAGAAGGGTTCTTTGGCCTGGTCCAGTTTTGCCTATATGGGCATTGCTATTCTTATACTAGTTAAAGAAAATGGAAGGTATGGGTGATTCTCAGCTTGGAGGTTGAGGAATAATGGGTTATGGAGGATATCAGAGGGCAAGCATGGTCTTTATTGAAAGTTTTCCTGTCTTCTTCCATCCCTTCCTGTATTCCCTAAGTGTTTCCAAACTGTTCCTGCTCCTCCAACACTTCATGCATGAGTAAATACCCACTAGTGTTAGCTGTTTTACATACTTTGCATGGATTTAGACTCACTAGAGGAAGGAGCATCTACAGCAAAGTGCAATAGTATAAGAATGGGTAGGTCTATTTGGTCACAGATCCCTCCTGGAGGATAAATTAGGAAGAGTGACTCATTTTGTTGCTGCCTTATTGTCTGTGCAAAATGCGTATATTGATAACTAATGTGGCGGTTATTTTCACTATCTCAATTATTTTTGTTGTTGTTGTTATCATCTGAATTACTCCCCAATGTCTCACTGTACCCATACTCCTTTATTTTTCTTCTTTTGTATATTTCAAATACTTTCATTCTTTTAATATGTTTTTTGTTAATCCATTTTATTCACCAGAAAAATGCTATGCTCATAATATCACTTATTTATTAAATCTATGTACCTTTTTAAGCACCATGTGTCAAGCAATTAACTATCTCTGGGACTGTAATAACGACTAATACAGGGATTCTGTTTCATGTTATTCACAGTCTAGTGGGAAGGCAGACAAAAAACAAGAAACACAAAAACTTGCTAAAGGCACATGCACAGGATTGTTGTTTGGGGTCAGCGGTGATGTTCAGAAAAGGAATCTATTTAGAAGGTCAGAAAACATTCATAGAGAGGTGATATTTAATTAACTTTTTGTGGCATTGGGTCATCTGGTGTCTGCAAGAGTTGAAGGAAGATGGTAAGGGAAAGAGAAGGGTCTGACAGAGACACACAAACCTGAAAAAGCCAAAAGTGTTAGTTGAGCAGGCATTTTATTCACCTGTATGCCCATTGCCCTGTTGAATACTAGTCTGCCAAAAAGCAAGTGCTTAATATACCTTTGCATGACTGAATGTGTGAATACCTATTGGGTATGAAGTCTTGTCTAAGGATTTCCTCAGGTGTGTTTTTTGATAGATACAGTCATATTCTCTCTGTTAGAGAGTAATTCTGCCACTTGTGTATCATTTTTTTTTTCTATTTGGGTCTTGTAATGTAGGATTTTGGGAATGGAGAGACTGATACTGCAGGTCATTTAGGCTATTGATTGTACAGTGAACATGGTAAGAAATCATCTTTTATCAAGAAATATTTTTTATCCAGAAACTTCATGTGTGTATTAAGCAAAAATTAATAAAGATAAACATTAAAAAGCTGACATGTTCCCAAGGAAGAGGCAACCTCACCTATAGAAAGACTTATACCCAGACTGTATTACAGAGGGGACAGGCTGGCATAGTGGCTCATGTCTGTAACCCCAGCACTTTGGGGGGTGCAAATGGGTGGACCTGTTGAGCCCTGGAGTTTGAAACCAGCCTGGGCAACATGGTGAAACCCTATCTTTACAGAGAATATAAAAACTAGCCAAGCATGGTGGCATGTGCCTGTAGTCCCAGCTATACAGGAGGCTGAGGTGGGAGGATCGCTTGAAGCCCAGGATGTCAAAGCTGGATTGAGCCTGTGATTGTGCCACTGCACTCCAGCCTCGGTGACAGAGTGAGACCCTGTCTCAGCATTGATCCACTGTAGGCTGAGAGGTTGCAATTAACATGCTACAATGTGCCATTCAGAGAGAACTTGATGGAATCTATACTTTTGAAATTTGCAAAACGATCTGCTCTCTAGTGTACTGGGGAAAACTATTCAGAAGAATATGTCTTGCTAGAGGCACTCCACCATGCAATTGGTGCTTGGTGCTATTAATTACTGTGTACTGCAGGAGCTGGATGTTGGTGAAGCTGACCATGTTGCAGGAATTTGGTGTTGGTGAAGTCAACCGGTACTAAAGAAACCTGCCAGGTGGATCACACTGGCAATATAACTGGAAATTATGAGGCAGAGCATGGGAAAATAGGAAGCTGCACAAAATAAGAGTTCCAGAAATTTGCAAACGTATCCCCCATGTCTTCAACAGAATAATAAACTATGTGTATACTGGGCCAGCTGCCGTAAGGCTGGCAGAGAACAATTGTGGGAAAATACAGGATAAACAGAGATTATTAAATTTAGACTTGACTGGGGGGTGTTGTAACCAGCTAGAGTAGAGATGGTTCACTGAATCCTGTGGGCCCTTGACTGAGATCTCAATAAGGGCACACCTTGGCGGTAGGACTACTCTGACATGAAGTAAAGGGTAATGAGAAATGCCGTATCAAACTTAGGAAGAAAGTTCAATAGGACCAAGCTTATTTACAAGTAATTCAAATACCTAACAGAATGCAGTTCAATACTCTTTAAAAATAAATAAGGAAAAAATGCAGCTCTCCACGCATAAAATTAAAAATCTCCAACATTTACTAAAAAACTGCCAGATATATGAAGAAGCAGAAGTATGTTACCTATAGTTAGAAGAAAAGTCAGTTAAACAAAAAAGAGACAGAATTAAAGAGATGATGGAGTTAGCAGACAGGGATGCTAAAACGATTACAAACAGTACAAATTTGTTCAAGATTAAGAGAAAATATGGATGTAAATGAGGGGAGGAACGATTGCTATAAAAGAACGAAATGTAACTTCTAGAAATCAAAGAAAATATCTGCAATAAAAATTTCACCAGTAAGATTAAGAGCAGACTAGAACTTGCAGAAGAAAAGGTCATTTAACTTGAAGACAAAGCATGACGCTGTCAAAGTGGAGCTTAGGGAGAAATCATAGCACGGCATTTTTATATACGATTAGAGGAATGGGATGAAACCAGTGATCCACCTTTCCATCTTAAAAAGCTAGATGAAGAAAAGTAAACTCTAGGTAAGAGCCATTCCAGTTGTTGCATATATCAATAGTTCATTCATTTTTATTGCTGATCCATATTCCGCAGTGTTAGTGTATATTTTTGTGTATTTTTCAATTAGATTGTTTTTTTACTGTTGAGTTTTGAGAGTTTTAAAATATTTTCCTAGGAATCTACTGTGATTGACCTCCAAATTTTTACCACAATTCCAAATTCTCGTGACAATAGTGAAAGGAATTCTGATGTATTGAGAAGAGGAAAGAGCAATAATCTCTAAGTAAGAACCACTGTGACTTTAGTCATAAAATTGCAATAATAATGATAGATATGTATTTTTTATTTTTAAATGTCAATAATATTTTTTTAAAAATACGCAAAATGTGGTTACACCAAGGAGATATCTGTTTCTGTAAGAAATGTGTTGAGTACCTATCAAATGCAAATTGTGCTAGGTAGACACTGATAAACCTTTATTGGTTTATAATAGGAAGGTTTTAAACTTGAGAATAGAAAGGAACCTGGTTAAACTTAGACTATTAAAAGCTAAGATTGTAGAGAATAATATTTCCAGAATCAGCAGTTGAGTGAATTTTTTCCCTAAATGATACTGACTCCATAGCATTACTTATGAAATATCAGCACTTTCCACATCCTCTTCAGACTGTATCACATGAAGAAGAAATTATTTGTGATGGTGTTTGTCCTTAGCTCCAGAATTTGTGCAGCAGTAGGGACATGTTTTTTTTCCAGAGGATATTAGACCAGAGAGAGGGTTAAGCTATGGGGTTTTGGGTTCTGAGTGAAAAGCCTCCTTAGATCGCTATAAAAGAGAAGGTGATACAATCTGCTGAAAGTGAGGGCCTGAGTACAGGGGAGATTAGGGAAGGCTCATGGATGATGCAATGAAAGGAAGACATGCAAACAAGAAATAATTCAAAGGATGGTATCTGGCATAGTGAGGATAGGACTGTCCAATCATCTCTTGAAACTGGCAATGTGGGAAAAAAGAGCAATCACACATTTCCACCCTAAGCATCCAGTATACTCTGAGTCCTCAGCATCACCCTTTGCATGTGGGTGAAACAGAATTCACAGCCAATGATACTATGAAGAGCCTGACAAAGAGGAAAAACTACCCTAAATGAGATGTTTTCAGTCTTAGGAAAAGACGGAGAGGTTCTTGCATATCTACAAAGACTGATGAAAAGGGGATTTAGTGTGATGAAAGCCATGGTAAGAAATTCTAACAGGAATTTCTGGTTAACTCATAGTGGCTTTTCAATAACGAGTTTCTGGAAACCAGAGATTTGGTCATACATTTCTTCTTATGCACTATTTCTGCACTTAGCAATGCTCATAGTGAGTATTCAAAAAACACTCGGAAGGAAGGGAGGGAGGGAGGGAAGGAGGGAAAGAAGAGGAAGGGAGGGAGGGTGGGAGAGAAGAGGAAGGCCAGGAGAGAAGGGGTGGGAGGGAAAAAGGTAGAGCACATTATCATTGTTCTGGAAACTACTGTTCTAATCAGCATGAGAGAAGTGAACACACATACTCTAAGGATTTATCCTTCAGACCACAAAGCCAGAGTTCAGGGAGACCTTACCATGGCTAAAGAGAACTTGGCAGTGATGATTGGAAGAATAAGCAGAGCTGTCCTTTGAGAATGAAACAAGGACCTGCAAACGAGGGCTCCTGGGGCATGGAGATGTTGGCTATATACATCTCTTCTCTACTTCGGCTGTTCATTGATACATGAATACTTTCAAATGGTTCTGGATCCTCTCATGACTGGAATCTAGGCCACAAAGGTTGGGAGGCAAACGGTAACTGGTAGTTTTAATAATTAACTGTCACTTATTTCTCAGCCAAAGGTCATTCTCTTTCTACTTTTCTGAAGCTCAGACTCTATGTGAA